ATATATCAGCACCAGAAGTCTCCTCTCGTTTTAGTTTGCAATTCAGGATTGCTTTATTAATCAACACAAGATGCATTCATTGAACTGGATTAATCCTGCATAAGTAATTTTGAAATTTCCTGCTGAAGTTATTTTTCATTTCTGGGAACAAATCATTTATTTGGATTTTCATATATCAGGATCACAGAGATTTGCCACAGTCAGATTTTAATTTTAGTTACATCTGAGCTGGCTTATATATTAGGGTGCATAGTTTTGCATGAGAGCATCTTCTAAAATCTGTAATTGGTGTGGAACACTGACATGCACAGAATACATCTGACAAGGTCCAGAGAGTTAGGTTCAGTTTTGCTGATCAACATCTATGCTGCAGATTAACTGAATCTTTTATGGCATTACAAGCCCTCCAGAATTCATTAGTGTGCTTTCCCTTCCTTCCTGCAAACCACCCTGACCTCCAGTGCTGCTGTCACCGCTTCCTTGGACTGGACCCGAGAGGCTGAAACACTGACTCCTTTCCACTGCTGCACTAATAACAGAAATTAAATGTGTATCTTAAAACTGCCCTGGAGTGTGTGCATTGGCACTTTCCTTGGGCCCTTTAGCACTGCTTGGGATTTCTTTCTCTTTTGTCTGTACCAGAAAGCTCTATTTAAATTGAAATATGGCCTCTCCCTTAAAGGCAAGGGAAGTAGAGTACTTTATTGATGAGTGATTATAATACAATAGAAACCAGTATATATAATGAGGTTTGGCATGGATTTTTCTCAGAAATTGGCTCACAGATGCAGCTAGCAGAGGAAATCATTGTATTAAAAGCAGAAAGGGGGATAAACACATGAGGGAAAGCAATGCCAGCTTTTGGGAGGTGGGTGCAGATTACCTTCAAAGACAGCACTGTAATTATTGAAAAGCATATTTTTCAAATGCCCTCTTTGTCATTCTTAAGGACATGGGTACAGGTTGCAAGTCACCAGCAAATCAGTCTTGTCACACTTCTCACCCAGTGGATGAAACCATAGCTTAAGATCAGGGAAATACCTTCAGTCACCAATCTGCTGTTTTCCAGGTCCCAGTCTGCAAAAGTACCTAGGCAAGTTTGTCATGCTGAGGGTGAAATGGAGAAGATTAAGGTTTGACAGGAAGGACAGCAGGGAAAGAGAACTATGGAACAGTCCATGTGTCCAGCTCCCAAAGACGACTCTCATCAGAGAATCAGAAATGGAAAGGGCTCTTCCCTCCAATGCAGCTGGGACCAGGAATTGTGGCTCATCTGCTCTTCTTGTGCTTCCCACCACCAGCATCAGCTCTCGTCCCTTTTCACAGGTGCTGGCCCTGCAGAGAGGTGTCACTGAGCATCTCTTTGATAGGTTTTGTTGTGCTGAAGACTCTGCATTAAAGCTTGAACACTGCAACACCTAAGTACTCTGCTGATTTATCCTCCTGCTTGACAGCAGGACCACTGAAAATGATTAGCTGAATACCATCACCCAAGGGCTTTTTTAGATAGTTTCATGTTTATCTCATATTGTCTTCTATTGAATTTTCTTATGTTTCTCTTCTGCCCTTTGTATTGCCTTTCCTCTAATTTTTTTCCAGCCCTGCTCTGATATGTGCTTCTCAAAAACCATCTTTGCCTTCCTCATTAATCCTGATTTTTCTTGATCCTCAGAAACATCCCACCTTCTCCTCTCACAGTCTCGTTTTTGATTTTTTTCCTTTTGTTTACTTTGTCCCCTTCCTTTCTAAATCTTATCTCTGCCCATTACTTCCAGTTTCTCCTCTTCATCCTTTTCCCACATTAATTTTAAAAAAAAAAAAGCATAAATCTCCCTTCATTCCTCTGCTGCAATAAACTCATTAATGAAACAATTCTATTTATTGTGCTATCTTAGTGCTATCCAGTACAGCCCACAGCTGCTTTAAACACAGGGGCCACTTTGCTCAGTGCATCCCCCTGGTTTGCATAGGCAGATTCTGGTCCCCGACAAAGGTTTGAAGGCATGAATAAACAACGCGTGAATAGTAACTGGCGTTGATGATGCTTCTGCTTCCTTGTAGAACCTCCTGCTTTTACCTTGTCTTAGCCTTGCAATACCTCTTGTCCCAACTCCTCTACAGCACGCCCGTGCCAGCATTTCCCCTCCAAGAACTGAAATACCCATAGTTACAAGGGTCAGTTGCCACGGGAGGAACATTTTGAAGAGGTATGAAGTTGCCACAACAAGAAGCACTAAATTCCCCAAAGCAAGACTGGGCTTAACAAAGCAGGCTCCTTTTCACTTACTGTGGCACAGAGGAACAGAGGGAGCAGCACAAGGCAGAGGCATTTCACAGGCATGCAGTGGCTCCTCCAGTGAGAGCAGGCACAGGGGTGGAGCTTTCCCTACTGGAAAAAGGTGCTGCTTTCCCAGGCCAGGCACTGTGCTCCGGGGAAGACAGACTCGCTACAGACCCGCCTTTTACTGTGGTCACTGCACTGACAAGCACTGAGTAATGGCACTTGGAAAACAATGAGGCCATTATGTAACACCAGAAAATAAAGGAAGTTCACACATCTACATGATAAAAAAGTTCCAAAGAATTTAATGTAGATATTATTTATACATACACTTTATAAGTAGGAATATGGCAGACAGTTGAATTAGTACATAAAGTTTTATTTAAAGTTTCCCCCCTACAAGCAAGCTTCATTTACACAGTCTAGTACTGTACAAAATTTACATTCTTTGTGTGACTTATTTCGTTAGAATTGTTTCCTTGGTCATGCCTTCCAGATAGATAGAAAGATTTTGATACAGTCCTCATAAATCTTTAAATTATCTTGGTAAAAAAAAGGAACCATTTAAAGGACAAGAAGTATCCTTTAAAAATGGTACATTTTAGTAGAGACTGGTGACAGACAATGTTCAGTGGCAGACCTTTTAAATGTCATACAAGGTTTCCTCATTTAGTATCTTAACAGTTTCCTTTTTTTATATATATTTATATTTATATACTTTCAACAGGAAAGAAAAAAAAAAGTCATGATTGCACCAAATATATTTTACAAGGGATCCCTTGGATCTGAACAATATAAATAAATACAAAACCAACTAAGATTGCACTATGTAGGAGAAATGGATTGAGATTTCAGGATATACACTCCACCTTTATGAGTTCCTTAGTGATGCTCACTGGAAAACTCCCCAAGGACACATTCAAATATTAGCATCTTCAGATAATTATTTTGTTTAAACATTTTTTTCCAGGCGTGCAGCTATCTCATCAATTGGATTATTGCATTTGTGTGGTACCAGTCTTTACTGCATTACTCCAATTTTACAAGTTGTGTAATTCTGCTGCAAGCAAGGGAGTTGCAATAAAATTGGACTGATGCCAGAGAGAAACAGTCCCATGATATTTGCTCTCTGTTATTTATATTGCTCTCAAGCATCAATATATAGTGTAATTTCTGTGTACATTCACCCTTTTCTATTTTGCAAAGCAAATATTGAAGTCTTTTTCCCATCTATTGCCTCTGCAGCTGAAACCAACCTCCAGTAGCTGCCTGCTCCTTGCTTAACGCACTAGCATTAAGTCCTGTCGTGAAAGATATGTGCAGGGCTGAAAATGCAGGATCGGAGTGTCCTTTGCCTTTTATCTGGTGCAGCCAGCTACAATTAGGCAAATTAAAGGCCAGATATTTATCTGACATTAAGTATATCCATTGGCTTCAATGGAGCAATGTCAGTTTACACCAGTAAAGAGGATGGTCCTGAGAGTAATGGATGCAGCACTAGTAAACCACAGTGGAAGAATTATGCACATACTTTAATGAGGTGCAGATGATTATGTCTGTTAGCTGCAAGGTGGTGAAGAACCAGGCTCAGATTTTGTCACTGCTTTTGCAAAGCCAGGACAGAAAGACATAAGCTTAACACATAGACAGTCTGATTTGTGCAAGCAACTCTGACTTCATGAAGCAAGTCCTAAATGCTACTGGTCCCATGTGGGAGCATTCTGAACTCGCTTTGCAATGTGTAAATAATTACACAGGCTATAAGGCAGTGGAAAATCTAGCCTTATATTACTTTGGATTAACAGTAAAACTCTCTCAGAGTGCATCTTAAGATCAACCACACAGGACTACTTTAACTACTTACCAGTGTCTCTCCAAAAATGCGCATAAGCATTTCAGAGTCCAAAGCAATAAATTTATTATTAAATGCAGTCTTCTTGTCTTTGGAAAGAACTTGCACAGATGCTGATATCTAACAGGTTAGCAAAAAGGAAGTAAGGTTTCTGGTGCTTCGTTAAGTGGTCATAGAAATAACTTACTTTACAAAGCCAGATTTTAAGCTGTAGGATCCAAATTCTGTTATACTAATGTAGAACCAGTCATTCCATGTGATTTCAGTGAAATGGTTCTGACTTTACACAAGTGTGATTAGCAGAATTTGATCCTAATCCCTAAGCTGCTATTGCAAGAAGTGCTCTGTAAAGCATAGCTTTCATTGTAGTCTGCTTTCTGCTGCACTTGCACATAGGGACTTTGAAGGCAGAGTGTATTAGTTGCCAAGCTGTGCAAAAACTGAATGATATTTCTTTACCTTTTATAATCTTCTGATGCTGTGTTGCTTGCAGAGCATATGAAGTAGTTGTAGGTTAGGATTACAGAGGAGGAGACAATTCTGCAATGCAGTGTGAGCTTTTCACTATCTGAATTCTGAAACATTCATGAAAACAACATCCTCATGACTTCAACACAGACCACATGCAGGTAGATACAATGCACAATACTGATCTTGTCTCTTCAGGCTCTATTTGAACAGTTAGCCATCTTTTTTTTTTTTTTTTTTTTATAAAGTTAAATTTGATGTGAGGAATGTCTCTGCAGCAGGAAAAGTTTAAATCAGTCTGAAATGGCAGTCTGTCAGCATGTAATGTTCGGTGTGTTTTAGCTTCTCGCTTCATAAGACACCGGCACCTATCTGAGATGGGACAACGCTTGCTTTTTCTTTTCTTTTAGTTTGCTCCTAAAGCATAAACATGGAATGAGGGGTCAATTATGGTAGCTTTGTTTTAACAGGAATTCTGTTCTAATAAAATATTTATGTCACCCGTCATTATTTTCCCAAATGCACTCAGTGTTCATGTCAGCGCTCTTGGCCCATCACTTGTTGTAAGGAACACAGGCCGGCAATACCACAGTCGAACACGCAGGTCCTGCTAGGGGCTCCGCAACATCACCTTCCAGCTCTGTCCAAGTCCCTTTCTCAGGACTGTAGCAAATAGTAGAAGATTTGTAGGCTCCCTAGTAGTAGAACAAAATGTCATATTAAATGTGGCTTTGATAAAATCCAAGTCACACATCATCTCTAACAATGTTTGAAAGTGACTCGAGGTCACTCTAACTTAGAAAAGCTCTTCAAGAGGTTTTGTTTTTTTCAGCACCCAGCCTCAGAAAAATCAGTCTCCTTTAGAAGCACCTCATAAGCAGAGTTGTAAGCATTCAGTCCCATCAATCACTTTTTCAAAATTCCTTCTGATTTTTAAATTACTCCGTATCGGTGAATAGAGTGTAATAATAATTTATCTAAATAGAGAAGCACAAAGGTGAAAAAACACTCCATGTTCTCCATAAGCTGAAAACCAACCCAAACCTGCCCCTGTAGCTAATTCCCCTCTTCTCTCCATACCATCTACATACTACATGGACTGGTCACAAGAACTCAGAAGGAATAGAAAGGTGATGGTAGAAAGCAGGTACACACCATACTCCAGCTGTAGCCTCCTACAAGGTAAATACTGTCATCAAGGACTGCGCAGCCAGGGCCACTGCGACCCTCCAGAATAGGAGTCTGGAGGATATTCCACTGGTCACCTTTTGGGTCGTAGCACTCCACAAGCATTACATCGAGATGGGAGAAACCTGGATGAGGGCATTAAGAAAAGAGAACATGTGTTATGACATACTGTTTTATTATTTATTTTACTGTTACATTTATCAAATTATAGTTACAATTATACTATTATGATTATAACATAATTATTAAACATTTTTTTAGAAAATATTTTCATATACATTTAAGCCAACTTCTGTAACATTAATGCTTTGTTATTTCAGTTCAAATAAATCTGTTGAAGGTTTTTACCATTAGTTATACAGTCTTCTACAAATCATGAGTCCATATAAAACCTGACCACATCAGGAAACACTCAGGAATAACTTATCTGTGACACAAGCAGATTCAAACAAAATTCCTCCTTGTCTATCAGTGCAAGTTTGAACATGTAGGAAAAGATTGTCCTGGCAGTCTTTCTCAAAATTCAGCAGATCAAATCTATTCAAAATTGAACTGATTGAATTTTGCTCAGAAATCAATGTCTAACAAGTCCAGGGAGAGTTTAGACAACTGAAGCCGCTTGGTTCTAGAGGGACAAAGTGCTTAGCATGATGGACATGATGTGCAGGACCAGTTTCAATTTTCCAGCTGACTTAAGGTATACTCTAAAGCACACAGCTGGGGTAAAGTCTTTAAGGCAACAACAACAAAAAAAATGTAACCACAAAAATTGTGGTCTCATCTTTCCCAGGTAGGCCAAAAAATGCTCCAAGTGACTGCTGCTGTTTGATCACCAAAGGACAGAGGGGTTTCAGCTCAAGATTCTCAAGCTGTATCTATCAGTTAATATGAATTTGAGCCAAACACAGACATTGAACACAGAAGTCCTGGTTCCTGCTCTAACATTTAGGCAATTCCCTATTTCAAACTATCTTCTTTATCAGAGCACTGCAGTAAAAGTATGCCTTTCTTAATATGCTGAAGTGGTTTTCTTAACCCTGCTGTCTTCTCTTCAAGGTATGACAGCAAAGAGAAGTAAGATTTTCTGTAAAAAGGGCATTTGGTGATATCGGCACTTCACAAGGGAGCTGCCTGCTTGAATATTATTTATGTCCAGAATGAGTATGAAATAATATAAAATAATTCATAATAATATAAAATAATTACTTGCTGCTTTATGGTTTTCAAGGCACCATAAAAAGGCCACTGCTGTGCCCCCAGAACCTGTCAAAAGCTCTGTAACAAACTGCAGTATGCACATGACCAGCTGTGATGTGGTAAATGCACAGCTAACACTACTACACAGTTCAGCTTCACAAAGGAGGGCTTTGCCATGGAGCCCTGCTATTCCCTGCCAGTGGAGAATTTGTAACATTTCATCCACACTTCAGTCCCCTCCCTCCTCCCTGTCCTTGCAGTTCTTCCTTTTGTTTCACTGTATAGGAGAAACCATTCTTTTCCAAAAAGTCGTTTTACCAGAAAGCCACATCTTTCCAGAAGCCTGGATGTTAAATATCCCTCACAAGAGTGAGCAGTTCAAGCATAACAAAGGCACCCAGGACAACAGTTGTAGAGGCAAAAATGCAAGGCTTATTAGAAGCAGGTGAGACTATGTGGAAAAAAAAGAGAAGGTGGCAGAACAGAAGCAATTCAAGCCTCTGCAAACCAAAACGTGTGCTTTACCTTGAGGAGACTTGTGACAGGTTCCACTTTTGTAGGAGGAAAAGCCAACACTGCAAAGCACTGAAACCTGGCAGTTGTTTATGTGCAAGCAGTTGTTTATGTGCAAGCAGCCCTCTTCATAAGGTCCAGTCCATAAACACCCATCCCAGCTGGGGGTGGGGAGTGGAGGCACAGCAGCACTGAACTTGTCTGCAGGGTTTTATGCACCAGTACTATTGATCTGGGACTTTGTCCCTTGCATGCTCCACACTCAGATCTCCAAAAGCAGCATGTGGCTTTACAGTGTCATGGGGACCTAGGGACTGGAGTGACACATGACCTGGTCTTACTGGCAGTTAACACATTTTTTTACTTTTCCTTTTATATTATGATTTTATCTTTTGTTGTTGGGAGTCTTTTTTTTTTTTTTTTTTTTTTTTTGTTTTTTTTGTTTTTTTGTTTTCAACATTAAAGGAGAAAGAAGAAAAAAAGTGAATATAAACTATCAAATATTATCACAGAAAAAAGGAGCAGGAGGTGTGCTTTTTGTCTAAGTGGCTGGATTAAGAAGCATCTTTAACATCAATGACATAGAGGTATTAAGACAAAATTACCAAATGCCTAAGCAATAGTTATTTTAATATGAGACCTTTTCAAAAGATGAAAACAAGAGACCTCTAAAAAGAATTATAATAAACAAGCTGCATTTAATACTAAAAAGGGATTTAAAGAGCCTAGTCCTAATATTTAATGGCTGGAAGTTTGCTTTTTTTTTCTCTTCATTAAATCAGGAGCTTGTTTTTTGTGTGTTACTCTGAATAAAGCTCTCTTTAACTGCACATTTTGGAAAATGATTTACAGAGGAAAATATTGCTGGTACTTTCGGGTCAAAGAATAATCTGTTTGTTTCATTGAATTCTTGGTAATGACAAATTGTCCATGCCTTTGAGTAATGGAAGCTCCCATTTTTATTATCTAAAGCATTCATTACTCATATATTTAATGTACTGTTATAATTTTAAAATAATTTGCATAAAATGTTTTTAAAATTGCTGGCTCAAGTGTCCTGTTAAATTGTGTTGCTTGGCTTTCAATGTATTCAACAGTGACTGTCTAACAAAAATATTCTTTATCAGAGATGTGGGACACTGAGATACTTTTTCGCTATTAAAAATGTGACCTTTCAAATGGTTTCCTCCAATTGCATACAGTCGATCATTCATCACAGCCAGAGTGTGGATTGCTCGTTTTGTGTTCATGTCCTGTTTTCGGGCCCAGACGTCCATCACAGGGTCATAGCAGTACAGCCAGGGGACGTATTCTCCATTGTGAACACCTCCTGCAAAGTAAACACACATCAGCTCATTAATATAAATAAAGACATTGTGCTGCAGCAGGAATTTAGCTCTCTGCTTTTGGGGTTCTGTGGTTTATTTCTTTTTTATGGTGGTTTTGGGTTGGTTTTCTTGTCATACATCAGGAATTATTCAAGACACTGGCCTGAAATGTATATCTTGCCATTGTGAACGGCTCCTGCATGGGCTGCCAGGGGTTGTGGTAGCGAAGACACATAGCGCCACTCGTTTGTCTCCAGGTTGTAGCACTCAACGCTGGACAAGTAGCCAGTTTCGTTTCTTCCACCGATGACATACAAGTTCTTGTCAAGGCGGCAGGCGTAGAAACTGGCTCTCCTGGAGGACAGGGCAGAACAAAACAAACAAGCCAACAACAAACCAATTAGCCATGTCAAACATTTCTTTCCCCTCTCCAGCTGACTCCCTGAGCTAAGAGAGCTGCTCCTTCAAATGCTACATCAGAGAGAAGTAGCTTCCAGGAAGCCTCACATGCTTACAGCTGTCCTAGAGACTGTGGCTGCTTTGCTAATCAAATACACAATACTCCACTTCAAAAAAATACTTCATTTTTTGTGTCAAAACAATTAGGCACACATAAAACTGCCAGAAAATACCCCTTTTCAAAGCTGTTTGTTTCTTTTTCACACCCATGAAAGATAAAAAGGTGCTCATTAATGTATGGGGCATTACCTTGTAAGGGATATAACAACTCAGTAAGACAAAGTGAAAAATGAGGTAGATAATGTAACAATAATAAATTATCTTGACATTCACTTTCTTTATGGTCCTTCAAGGGTCATTGTTCCCAATTTACTAAGAGAACCACATCATCAAAATTTTTCTTCAATTATCATTTTTTTCTTCCTTCTGCAGTACTGCAAATAGAACAACTTTCCTTATGCTAGCTACAGCACTACATTTCCACCCTTTAACTCAAATGAGGTCTGTCTCCATCCAACTAACCCTGAGAAAAGTTTTAGCCACCTGTCTGCTTTTACATGCAACTCAGGTGTGTGGGAAAACAATTAAGTTTTCTGGCCAGGACTGTCGGATATATATTAGTTTGTCTTCCTCATGCCTCAAAAATCAATGGTGAGTATTTGTTGCCGAAGTAAAAATTGAGCAGTAGATGATTTTGAGAGACCTTGGTTGGTGTAGTCCACTCCAGGGAAAGCTCCCTGGATCATTCAGCAACAAGAAGGTTTACTAGAGTAGAGACCTTTAATTTCAAGCTGCAATAACATGAGAAACAAAATTGCAAAAAAGCACAGCTGGGCTAGGATGAAGAGCTGAACAAAATATTGAATGACAAGAGTCATCAGTCCCCAACATAAAATTTTCTCCTGGGTGAAACCAGAATGACAAGGGAGCCTAGAAATGAGCAGGCAGGCCAGGCACAGCAAAATCTGACAGATCCTCTGGAGTAGTTGGCTGTATCTTGCCAAACCCTGCTCTGTTGCTGATTCAATGCACTCTGATTCCTGCCCAGATGCCTTAATTTGAATCTGGGAGCAGCTGCATATTTCACTCCTGAGTCATGGACTAAATCTTGGGGCCCTGATGGTCAGCTGCACCACCAAGGGCTTGAACCTGCAGATGACTGCAAAGCATTTGAATGGGCAGTGGCACACACAGAGCACAGCATCCTCAGTGAACAGCTTCAGCATGTCCAACACTTTCTCAGGCTTCCTGAGAGCCATCCCATGACCAGGTGAGCTGGCAAAATTTGGTGTGTCCTGTCCCTAACCTGACATCTAGCCAGGCATGTTCAGGAGCATTTTCTTCAGTGAATGCAGGAATAAGATCTTGCTCTTTTGCACAGCTACCTATTTTCACGAAATTTGTAGCATCCTTTAACCTTTTGGAGAAATCTCCCTCTTAGTTAAAAGTGTCTGAGACTGGTTGGTGGTTTATAAGTTGGAAGAGAAGTCAGGCAAACATCAAGGGATACAGCCATGGAAACAGCAGGGCTGGCCGGGCATCCAGGGAACAGATTTGATGCATCACTGCCAGTTTCTGACCTTACTTTTTGGATTTGGTGCACACTTGACAGGGCTTCTCACCAGCCAGGGTCACTGAACACCTCCTGTTCTCTTCTTTGCTTTCACACTGCCTGCACATGGGCAGCTTGGATGGTGTGGGACAGAACCCCCTTCTGAGTGGGTCTGGGAGCTCCACCACAGGGAAGATTTCTGAAAACAACCCCATGGAAATAGGAGGACAGGAATACTGGCAAGTGTCTCCAGATCAACTGATGAATTAAAAAAGACCATTTAATTTATCTGTCAGTGGGCAGATAGAAGCTGATGGCACATTTTGCTCCGCATGGTCGGGCAGCAAATTATGCATCTATGTTTTTAGCCTGATATTCTATGGAAACAAAGCTAATTTGATTACACTGTACATGTACCCATGTCTGCCTACTGTTGTCTCTTAAAAAAAACCCTGCTAACTGATTTTACTCTAATTTGACAGAGGCTATAGGTGTTACAGGCAGCGAAGTGTGTATAAGCTTTCTGAGAATATGTGATGGGCCAGAGGCAACACAGCCCACAGCTGCCCCAAAAGCAGGAAAAGCTGCAGAGGTCACCTCCTATTAGAGAGAGCCTGCACAGTCAAGTACACTTTTTTCAACCCTTCTGTGTCCAGCAACCACAAAACCAGAGTGTGCCTGTTGACAGTGCTCCCATATCCACTTGTGTCTGTCCTTGTGCACCTTCTCTGGTGAGCCCATTAACAAACTGCTCTCAGCATGTTTTGCCTTCTCTTTTTTTTTTCTTTTTTTTTTTTTTTTTTTTTTTAATTCAGGTTTAATAAAAAGAGGTAGACACAATTTGCATGTATTATTCTCTTAACTAGGATTTCATTGACGATATTCTGTATGTGTACTCCTGGTTTCATCCACAGAGTGTCACTATAAGGAGCAAAAATGAAAGCATCAGCATACTTCACTCTTCTGCTTGGATGTGAACATTCACTCAGTAGCTTCTGTCACAAATATTTTAAGCATTTTGGTTTTTTTTAGTTTTCAATGATACAGTGTGTAAGGGCATGCTGTTACAGCATGCAAAGGCATGCTGTCAAGTGATGACTTTTAAACTGCTGTAAAATATGATTCAGATTAAACTATAATACAGCAATCTTTGCATGACAACGTTCCCCTCACAACTGAGAAGACACTATCCATTCTAATCAGGTAACTAGAATGTACCTCAGGATCTGAATATGGACAATAAGACAATTATTTTGTGATTTTCCTCAGGACTTGAAAGTACTCGATGTTCACTGGTCTCCTAAATGCTTTTCCTTCACCCAGCCATCAACCCAACCAACTTCTTCTTTCAACTATACACACATAAAAGGGAAGATTTTCCTCATGATTTTCACACATGATGAATTTATGCCCTGAAACACCAAACAGAACTACCAGTCTGAGATTTAAATTTACTAATGCTGATACTGATTGTTGCAATATCTGGACCTGATTTCAGAGTGACTTATACAGTGCATGCTTTGCTTTTTGAAAAATAAATAATCTCAGTAGTGGCTGACATTACTCTTATTCAAGTCAGAGATAAAAATAAAATGTGAAATTTTTGTATCTCTTTTCCTGTGCCTTTTCTCAGTTCACTCAGCCTCAGAGAGTACACTGACCTGCTCACTTCCCACTTCCAGTTGCACTTCTTCAGAACTTGGTACAATGCCATGCTTTTAGCTGGTCTTCAAACAAAAATTTTAAACTCAGGATATAAGAAAAAAGCAAGTTGTTTTAAATGCTGTTTTGCTCCACACACCTTGAAAAGCTCTGTGTTGAGCTGGCAAGGTGCAACAGTTCGGCCTGAGGTGTCCAGCTGAGGCTTGCACCTCAAGCTCAGATACAACTGCTACAACGACTGCTCCTTCAGTAGCCATCATAGTCTAACTGAACTGTTCTCCAAAAACCTTCCTGTTATGGCATCATCAGGCAGATGTGTATTTCCAAAGCTTATGAGTCACTTGCTGGTTCTCTAAAGAGCGAACTCCTGAAAATAGTACGTATTTTTCAAAAGCATTTATATTTGAGATGTTCTTCAAGGGAAAAGGAATCAAACTTAGCTTTAAAGAAAATACACTGGTGACACTGAATCTATAACGGGATTAGACTTTTCTTTATAGCTTACACAGTAAAATCAATCAGATATGGATTTTGGCATGTGAGATAAAAGTTTACTTAGCAAATATTTCATACAGATTTTTGACTTGAGAATATACTGCCTGTGAACGAGTCCCACATTTACCTGGCAGTCATTTCAAAGAAGCTATTATAGTCTATCCAGCCAATTATTCTCAGACTAAAATTCCTAAATAGGTTTTGACTTGATGGACCATAATGACTCAGAAAAACCCATTTAACAGTCTATCTTGTCAATGGTGCCTGCATTATGCCAGCAGAGACAGGGCATGACCCTGTACTCCTAGCAGGGGGAAAATAGCCTGTTGACTTTAATGGGAACTTTATCTCACTAAAGGAGCTGGGAAAGAAAACTGCATAAAAGCTCTCTCTTATTTGCATGATCTCCTACAAACTGGGCCAGTCCATACCTCTGAAAGCTGCAATAACTCTGAGGAAGTCATTAAGACTGAGCAAACAAACCATCAAAAACATTTTAGAAAGTGAGTGTAAAATCTCTTTTTTCCAACAATAACCCTCATGCTTAGGAGCCTTCAAAGAAAAACAACGGGCAAGCCTATGAGCTATGTATCCTGAACAAAAGAGGTGACAATTAACGTTGTCATAGCAAAGCCCCTTGCAGAAGGAACTATGTATGAGCGGACCATTGTATTTCAGTCCCTCTGTAGGGAGCTGTGGTGTTCATACATTACAGTTTATTATGGGCAGGAGCACAGGCCACAGCTGAGTTTCTGCCTCTTGGCTGAAGGCAGCACCAGAGCACAAGGCCAGCCACCTGCAGCGTGGTTTTCCAGGGAAACACAACTGGCCAATGTGGAGGTGGGAAAATTCCTACTGCCTCCTTTCTCCAACCCTCAGCTGCCTACTTCTGCTTTTTGAAATTTGTCATCCAAATAAACCCAACTGCTCAGCCAGCTGCCAAAGCCCCTCAGGACTTTGGCTTGGAGACACCCAGAGGGCCTAATTAGAACTCAGATTAGGCTCCAAGGAAGAGCTCCAGACTCCAAACAAACACCAGTTGGTCTCCTAGCCAGTCTCCCAGCTCAGCAAGGATGCCTACTCTGATTCCCACCTCCTGTGTCCCCCATGCCAACACCTAAACTGGTGGTGACTCACTCTAGGCAGCTGAACCAGAGGGGAAGGTGTCCCTCTGTTTTAAAGTAAACAATCACAGCTGTGAAGGTTATCCCAGTGTTGGTGGGAATAAGGGAGAAGGCTAGGTGCTGCCAAAGCAGGGACTTAGGTCAATCAAACTGAATCTTGAACAAAGGTCCTTCAAAAATTCTGCAGACTGACATTTTACCCCTGGAAATTTGAAAAAAAACAGCCATATTTCCAAGCATCTCATAAGACACACCTTGAATCACAATACTGCACTGAATTCAATATAATTATGACTGCCAGATACCCAAATAGTGTAGATAGTCAACAAAAATAAACCAAACTGTAAAACTGGCACAGAATAAAGAAAGCATTTGAGGCAGACACTGTGAGATCCTTTGTACACATGGGATCCAGGAGAAGATGGGTGTTTAACCGAAGGAAGGACACTGAAGATTTTCTTCAAATAACATTGTAACTTTGGATCTTCTACCTTTGAGATTATTCTTATGAAACATGCACAATTCTGTTCAGGTTTACAGAATTTTTTCCTGCGAGAGTAGCATTTGGGATCCACAGTTAAGTTTACGTCATCTTTATAAGTCATTGCTCAAGTCCACATCCACCTTTGCTCTCTGGTATACAGCAAGATTAAAACATGAGCTGCTCTAATATGCATTTACTGACAGCAACTTCACTCAAAGACCACGTAGGATTAAGAGTCCTCTGACAAGTAGGAGACATGTTCAGGAGAGCTTTTCATAGCTGGTGTGGTGAAACAGGATGGAGTCAACATGTGAAGGTTTCAGTTCCCTCTAAGATATCTGACTATAATTACTGCTTGTTTACTGCCAAACTCATCATGACACTTCAGTCAGGGAACATGACAGGACACTATGGAGACTTCAGGAAAATCCTTCAGACCGTACTCAGGCAACCAGTAATTGCATAAGGTCCATGGCTATTCTGCATGAGTTAGCACTGCAGGACTTGGCAACTGGAGTTCCAAATTTGAAAAGTTTTAAAAATTAGTAAGCAAATGGGACACAACTGCATGCTGCAGTTTTATCTGTGTTTTCAATGCTTCTATAGGCCTCCTTACTCCCAGAACCAAGCCAAACCTCAGCTGCCCCTAGGATGAGAAAACAGAAATTGAAAAACACATAGCAGGTTTTTACCTCTCTTGCATGGGTGGAAGTTGTATCCAGCTGTTAAATCTGGGATCGTATCGGCTAACAAAGTTTGTACTGTGTTTCCCTGTAAAGATAGATTATTTTGACACTCAGCTGTTTGTTTCATGTATTTAACATCATGATTGTAATATATATTACATACACTTCACAAGTTGACACCTTTTATGAAGGGTTCCCCCTTTTACAACAATGTATGATTACACTGTGTATGCAGTAATAATTCAACAAATGGGGCACTGCAAGGCTTGAATTAGCAGTCACTAGCAGTAAAAGCAGACAGCGATTATTCTTGATCTTTGTAATAAGATCTTGAAAATGTGTATTTAAATTTACTTATACAAGCTGTGGTATTTTCACAGCCACAATAAATCACAGCACTAAACAAAATTACTGCCCAAAGAGGGCATCCCCACAGTATTTTTATGACTAGAATTTTGTCAGGTAAAAAAAATTAAAGGGAGAACACGTTCTTTTCTTTCTCCTTACATCCTCTCTGTATGGAACATGGCAAAAAACCATTGTGCAAATAACCAGGAGCTGCATAAGCCATCAGCATGGGGTATGCAGTGTTTGCACTAGATAGTTTATTCTACCATGTACCTTCATTGTAAGTTAGAAGGAATTACAGATGTGCATCGAAGGGGGAATACACTCTTGAGAGTTTTATTCCAACTCTGTTAGCTAAAATATGAAGCATGAGCAACATACACCAGCTAACTAGCTTCTCCCTGCTGTCAAGCCCAAGAATTGTGTTCATGTCTTCACGATATTAAGATTTCACCTTATTTTACATGCAGATTGACACCAAAGCAAGAAAACTGAAGCAAGAGAGTGCATGGCAATTTCCTGTAACACCTGAGACTTCAATAGATGAGCATTTTGAAAACAGAAACCTTTGTTTATGTATGTGTGACTAAAAAATTGAATTAGAGGCTTCACAGGCCAGCAGAATAACCTAACTGCGTATGTCACAGTTCTATAAATGGTCACTGGGCATTCTACAAGGTGAATATTTTTGCATCAGACAAGCCTCTGCAGGATTGGCTCTCTTTCCCTGCTTCATTCCACACTTACTTCAGCATGTGTAAATAGACCATCAAGACAGTAGAGAAGAATAACAATACAGCTAGAATTTATATTCCTAATAATTTAAGTTCATGTTCTACAAGAAAACAGGGAAAGAAACCACACTGACCGCTTTGGAAATAAACTGATTTCCTCGCCATGTTATAAGCATGTTCTATATGAGGAGGGTAAAGCAGAAGGCCGATGAATAATGCAGCATATCCCTTCAAGTCCAGCATGGTGCCTAACGAGGACCACGCTGAGTGCCACTCAAAGACATGACCATCTCAGCACCACCTCAAGACACAGGGTGAGATTCCCATACTGTAAGGGCAACTGGTCATTCTGCCACTGGGCTTAGTGAAGTGAGGCTTTGCTTTTGATCCTTATCTGGATTTCTTTAGTCTACACAGACAATTTAGAAAAAGAAGCATTGAGAGCTATAGATTCAATAAGCAGCAAAACAGTAAGAGCAAGTTTGAACAGGTTCTAGGTTTCACTGTCTGAGACATTTACTAATCTCCTTGTATTTCAAAAAGCAGGAATTCAAAATAATATAAATATTGACCCTAAGTTTAAACTTCTATTTTTTTTTCTAGGTTTTAATGCTGCTGTATTAAACTACATCTTTCAGAGTTACTGGCACTTCAGTGCTCATCAGTTATACAGCAGCTTTGTCTTAAAAATCTATAATTTGGCTGCCTAACACTTCACACACATAGTCACTACAAATACCATGTATGTAGAAGATTGTAAAGTACAGGATAGAAAAAGGGTTTAGTAAGCCTAGACTGGGAGTGCAGGATACAAATCTGGGTCCTTCACCCAGGAAGGGAGATGAAATCAAACTAGAGCAGTCACAGAGAAGAACTACTATGGCAACAGGACGAACAGAAAGTTTACCTTATGGCAGGAGACAAAGAACTTGGCCTGTTGCACCTAGAAATACAAAAGCTGAAAGGGGATAGGAGTGCTGTCTGTAATACTTTAGAGGAACAAATCTCCAGGAGGAGAAAAGCTGTTAAACTAAAGGCCAGCCTTGGCATGAGAACAAGGTGATTTAGACAGTTAAAGAATACATTTTATTGGATATCAGAATAAGGCTCCTAGTCATTTAGAGCAATTGGATTCTGTAGCAGCTTTCCAAGAGGAGTAGTGGAGGCTGGAAATCCAACTGCTTTTCAAATGTAGCTTAGAAAATTTACAAAATGGGATTATATGATGCCTGTGACTGCAGGAAAAGGACTTGGTGACCTACTTAATCTGTCTGGTGTAACTGGTTTGACTGCAGTTTAAGTCTGGAGTTCAGATTGAAAGAGAACTCTATCTATGTTTTGCTTTGCTCATCAGCCATGAGACTGCACATCTTAGGATGCACCTGTTCTATAAGAACACAGAACTTGGGACAAGCAAACAAAGATCAGGATTAGCAAATCAGGATGATGGCACAAAAGGAGGCAGATACTGTTCTCGGCCCTGCAGCCACGCTAGAAGGCGATGGGCTCTGAAGGTTATGAAGGTTGGTCTTAAATCCATGCCTATGCTGTGCACCCTGCTTTCATCAGTGTTTACTCATGCAAGAACCCCTTGTGACTGGAAAGGCATAGCTACTGGAGGATGTAAAAAAGTGAGAAAAAACGTCTCCCATACTTTGTGGGTTGTCAGGAAGTCAGTGGAGGATGAAGGAGGCGTGAGCACTCCTTGGGGTCCATGCAGTTTCTCAAGAACCAGACATTCTGATGGCTAAAGCAACGTCCTACCATTGCCACCATCTCTAAAATAATTCTCTACATTGGAAAAAACACCTGGAATGGTCTAATTGGAAGCAGAAGCTTTGTAAAGCCTTGGCAAGATGGTTCCAGGTAGGTCCATCTGAAGTCCCTCCTGTGCTCTGAGGTTAGCAGACAAGAGCCTTTATATAAATTCATGTGGGCATGTGTGAGCTGCCCCCATATAGCTGCAAATTTAGAGTAAAATGGTTTCAAGAAAGAATATGCGCAGCACAGGATGTAGTTTATGATTTCAGGTCCACTTTCAGTGACAAGATCCATTTGATACAGAGATCAGTACGGCAATGCTCATACCTTTTATATTGCTATCTTCTCTACAGAAAAAATCCCAGCACTGGTATTCACAGGTCAGGGAAATTGGTGGATGCCTTGAGCAACATCTTCAACCCAGGAGTTGACCCAGATCTAGGCAATCTCAGGCCTTAGGTACTATTAATATCACAAATAACTGTGTTTGACTCCTATCTCAGATGCAACATATGTACCCCTTCTACCATCTCTCCATCACCTTGCAAGTCAGTTTCCACATCTTTAAAATGCGGGTAATTATACTTCTTTTCTTTTACCCTTCATGTGAAATGGCCATTTAATTGTAAACTGTCTGGAACAAGGTCTGCCTGTCCATATGCCTACCACCAAATACAACAGGGGTCCTCACTGGATGGACATAGCCAACGATCCTAAAAGAAATTGTCATTAGTGATACTGCGCCATCTCCTGCTTCAAATAAAAGACATTCAACAATATTCAACAATAGAACTAAGGGGCTCTTCTCCTAAGAGATATAGTGATATTCTTAACTACACCAGAAACATGCTTATAGGGTGGCCTGGATTGTTTGTCTCAGGTTTTAGGGAGTGAACAGATGTAACAATTTTCTATAATTTGGTTTAGTGCAGATGCTGAAATGGGGCATTCACAATAAAATATATGCAGTATATGTAATTTCAGCTGGATCCTCTGGTGTTTTAAAGTAAAAATGTGTACCTGCAAGCTGTTTTATGGTTTCTCAGTCATAATTATCTCTGTTACACAGACTGCTACAACTACAACTCTTTCTTCATGTGCAAGCTTTTTAACAATGTCTTGACAATTCTGTGAATTTTGCAAGGCATGGTATTCTCCTTTTGCTTTGCTCAGAAGCCTGTTAAATTGTTTAATTTCTCTTTGCGGTAAATTTATGAAGTAATCAAATGAAAGAAGGTAGCAGCAGATAATCTATATGAGAAGCTCTTGCACAAGACTGAAAAAAGGATCAGTTTAAGAATCTCAAAGTCTAGATAATTAACACATTAACAACTTGAGCTGCGAGTATCTTGTTTGACAATAGAAAAGAAGCATTCATCTACTGCAATTGCATTATTATATTATGACTGGAAGGAGCCTGGAAATGAAGGTTAAAATTCTTAACAGCTGCTGCCTGGTGCATGCACTTGAAAGAGTCTGTTCTGCTGCCTGTGGCATTTCTCAAGGGATGTGGGAGCTGATGAATGACAGAGATGCTAATGCTAAAGTACCAGATATTTATTACATCAATACCAAAGAGTAGCCTTTACTAGGTTCAACAATTAGGCTGAAGGTCCTCAAAATCCCTTACTAATCACTACATCAGCTGACCTGACAGACAGGGAGGCACAGGAAGGCAGATGCTCTCTTTGCCTTTTAGTATTCTATACATACCATTAGGGTTCCACTGGTCTTCTCCTCCTAGCACAAACAAGAAGTTTTCCACTTCCACGACGCAGTGATGGGCACTGTTGTATGGCATAACTGCAAACAAAGCAAGAATTCTTTGTCAGCTCAGGGCACTGATTTTATCAAATATTTCCTCTTTACCGTCTGTATGAAATAATATGAGTCACCCCAGGCATGTACGAACACTGACTTAGCAGCAGACAAAGACACTTATTAGTAAACTTATGCAATTCAATTTTGCAAATAATTAAGGAAAAAAGTCAGAAATTCTGGTCTCTCAGTGCCCCCTCATCTGCCCAAGTACTGTACATGCTGATCTAAAAAGAACTTGTAAAAAGGGATGAAATTGCATGATATTTCCCTGAAAATAAGCAGATGCTAGGAATCCTAGTATGCTAGAAAACATTAAAAAAACCTCAGCCATGCTTTGTTCTGCTGGTAATGTTTCCACAAGAAGAGTCAGTATGTTCAGGAGCTTTCTATTACACAGCAATGAACAAGCTGCATTTCCATACAGTTTTAAGTTTTTAAATTAAGGTCCTGCTGATTTAATGCCTTTTCCAAATGTATACGCTTAATTTCCTGTACAATGTCATTAGCAGCACGATCACACATCTTCTATTCATCTAATCAGGAAGCCCTTTGTTAAGAAAGATCAAAACTATGCATTAGGTCTGCAATATCCCTTTTTTAGGGGGGGAGGTATCATGATTACTATGGACCAGCTACAGATGCAAACATGTATTTCTTAGTATTTACTTTTTCCACTGCAAATGGTAAAATGCAAACACAAGCATTGCATGTACATAATGCACACATATTACTGCAGTGTGCAATACCCACTTTAATGATATTATATGGAAAATGTAAACTTATACAGCATTAGTTACTATACCACATAGAGTAGTTTTGGCCCAGTGACACCAGTAGGAAAAATGATGTCCTTGTCCAGCTCATCATATGGGCACCTTAAATCTAGGTGAGGACAAATGGGGAGGTGATGTGCATGTACAGGCAGGGAACTTATTGCTTGACACGGATCAACAGAGCACTTAGGAAACCAGTGCAGTGGGAAATCAATATGACTCAGGGCCAGCTCTTACTTTGTGCTCTTTTGCCAATGCCAAAAAAAAAAAAAAAAAAAAGAGGCAGCCTATCTCACACTTGGATTATTTTGGGTGATATATCTCTCATTTCATTTGTTTTATTATCTTTTATTTTTCTCAGAATGCAGTTGTGCAGTATAGCATATGCAAATAATAATAAGAAGAAATATGCACAGCTTTGCTATTTAGGACACATTTTCTTAAAGATCAAGTGGGCTCATTTAAGCTCCTTACTGAAGTTTTTGCCTAGGCAATGATGAATAAATAAGGTATGTTTTTGGTTTCTAGTGAAGGTCGAATATCTTTTTCATAGTCTGTGCTCTTACAAGTCATGTAAGTGAAGCAGTTCTTAAATTAGGCAGCCAGGTACAGTGAAAGTTCATTAATTAAGGTTATTTGTTACTGATTCAATTTATATTAACTGGGAACTAATCTTATACTAGACACTGCAAAAGATTTTATACTACATAGAGATTTCTACAGTAGGATGAAAGAATGAGGTCCGTTTTTGCTATCTTTTGAGACACCATATCATAATTATCTCACTCTTTAGTCTTAGACACTTTCCTGTTTTAAAATCTTCTCTCTCAAAACCACAGAACTTTTCTTGATTTTGTGGATGCTCATAGTAAATTGATTTTGTGGATGCTCATAGTAAATTTAGAATTTTGCCTCTCATGAGAAATTTGCTGCCTTAGATGCTATTTGGGACCCTTCCCCTCAAGAAGAGACTCCCCATGATCAATCTGTAAGGGCTTCAAGTTTTAAGTACAGTGCTTTATTATGGTTTCCAATTAGGTCCAAGCTGCTGGTTGCACCTTCAACCTCTTCTATCAGTCAGTCTGGAGAGCTCCAACACTTATAGAAAAAACTGCCTGCAGGCAGCACACATGTATATTTTCCACATTGTGTTTGCACTTTTGCAAAAATTTGTGTTTATTTATCGATTATATTGACACAAACAGGGTCAGTAGAGGAAAAAATTCTGCTTTAAGCTTTTCTGCTGTTAACATGCATATAAGGTATGCAATAAGACTCCTGTAATTATTATGATAATTAAACCTTGAAAACTAATGGCTTAATCCTGGCTCCGACTGAAATTGATGGCAACATTCCCACTGATACAGGATTGGGCCCAAACGACCCAAACTACCATCCATAACTCACAGGAAAGCTAAAAGGAAGCTTGCCTTAGAAAGGTGGGTAGTATTTGGCCTTCAGAAAGAAAGGTGACTGCAATAAAACACTGCAGACCTTTACTGTGACCTTTGTTTCTCTCAGAGCTTTGGGGAAAACTGTTCTTAGTCTCATGAATCTACCCATGGGACTGAAGGGACCTGGACAAAACATGGAGGATGGAGCAACACTGTGGACATCTAAGAGGGAAGGGACTCTAACTGAGAAATCAACCACCTCATAGTCTTTCTCCTTGACCCCTCAGAACTGGGAGTTATACACAGAAATCAAAACTACATGAATGAACAATTTTTTTCTTTTTTTTTTTTATAAAATATCCCTTGAGAGCACAGAAAAGCCATGATTCTTGAGGACATACACCCAGGTAGAATCTAACTTTTCATAGACAACAGTCAAAATTACATGGCAATGGCATGCTAAATTCAGTATCTGGTAGAAGCAATCTTCTCAAACTCACTGGGCTTGCCAGGGTGTAACAGGAAGAATTTGGCCCATCACACAGTCTGGCCAAGCTGCTGCTTTCATTAATTTTATATGAGTCTTTGTCTGCTGTTTGGCTTTAATAGTGTGAAAATCCCATCTTCTCATTTTTTAATCTCAACTCATTGGAACACCTGCCTGCCCCACAAAAAGGGTATTTGAAGAGAAGTTTGTACGCCATGCTCAAACACAGCCCTGCATGAGTTTTTAGCGTGTCAGTCAGTGAGTTAGAGGGAAAGGGTAAGGAGAAGCTAATCAGGATGAAATGAGATTAAAGGCTGTCTAATTTTACAGCAACTGTGATCCATCAGCCACTGTGAAAGTGACAGTGGAAATGAATGATGGAGACAGACAGGTGGGGCTGTACATTTCACTGATTTATCCTCAAATGCACTGGGCCTTATTTTATTGAGTGAACATGACCGCATTTATCATGACTGTCATCTAAACCCACTTCCCTCCATTTAAAAAGGTCACTTTACTAGGAGGGAGTAGGATAGAGGCACTTTCAAAACAGATTTAAAATTTAATAACACATGTTTATAAAACCCTCTGCAAAAATTCTTAACTTTATTAAAGACCAATTTAAAAAGAAGGCGAAAACACCATTAAAAGGAGAAGAAGATAAAAAAAAGCCATGGTCATCTGAGGAACACGCCAAGGTGATAGGTGCCAAGGAAATATGTGAGATAGACAGATATAAATAGAGCAGTTGGAGTGGGCAGAAACCACCTCTCCTAAGTCCCTGCCCCTCACAAAGCTCAGGATGCCCATGCTTTCCTGCACCAAGAGCACAAACAAGTGCAAACAGCCCTGCTGAAGACAGCACTGCCACCAGCCTCCTTCTCAGGCATTTGATGTGTGGTTGTTAGGAGACACCAGGTAAGGTGGGAGGAAATTTCTCAGGTACAGATATGGAACATGCAAAGCTGTCCAGGTCAAAACCAAATGGAAGATTTATACTTGAGAATGATCTGGAAGGCAGTGGAGTCCAAGACTGCAGTGGTGTTTACTAAGAAATACTCCACTACACAAACATCAGTGACACTGTGCAGGAGGTGACAATCAGCTGCTCTTCAGATACAGATGAGGAGGAAGACAAAGCAGCACTGAATATTACAATAGATATCCCACAAAGAAATTCCTCACATATGCCAAAGCTCAGCTAATAAAAAGTACCAGACAATGTTCTGGGACCTACTTTCAAAATCAGAGACTACAGGTTATAGCCAAATGCTCATGAAATTAAACACTCTCAACTACGAAGCCTGTGAGGTCAATCAGATGCAATGATGCTTCAAAGGCACCTCCATGATAAACCTCACACACCTAACAAGCATCAGTGTGTGCTCTTTGTCTTGCCCAGTTTTGCTTAGTTTTTGCCAATTATTGCACATTTAGGAAACAGCATCTGGTTGTTCTCCACAAATTAATCAAAGGGTCATCAGTTCCTCCTCCTCCTTACACCTTTCCCTGTCTATTGTCACTTCAACACTAACTACCAGGGAAAAAGGGAAAACTAGAATAGCACTTCTCAAGACAGAAGGAGAATGAGCTCAGGTCCCAGGAGATCTGAAATCTGCGATCAGGCTATACCAATTCCCCTGCTCTGCTAAAAACTCCTTCCAGAAATTCTTCTTGATTCCTCTACTCAAAAAAACCCCCAAAAACCCAAACCCAAAACCAAACCAACAACAACAAAAAAAATCAACCAAAAAAAAAAAAAAAAAAACCCCACCAAAAAACCCCCCAACCCCTAACCAACCAAAAAAAAACCCCAAAACCAAACCACAACAACAAATCCAACACCATAGATTCACTGCCCTGAAGCAGTTAGCTGCTTGAGATACAGGAGGTACTGTAAGGAAAGCCAAGAAATCTCTTCTTCAACTGCTGCACATTTTGAGCATAGCCCCTTCAAGACTCAGTACACACCAAGAAGTCATGCTCAGCGTCTCTAATGACCTGTGCAGATGATGCAAGAGAAGAGTGTGTTTCCAGAACAAAGATGTCATTATCAGAGGACATATGGATTCAATAATGACCTTCCACAATATTAACAGCCTATCCTGTTGACTACATAATATTCAACTACAGCTTCTTGAAAACTGGTTATTTTCACAGGTCTGAAGAGGGCAGTGTAATGAGAGATGTCTCTTTCCAGTACAGAAGGCACCTACAGACTCACTTTAGGAGACCGTGATTTGCTCATGGCAGAGACACAATATTCATGCAGAGACAAAATATTCATTTCATTCCCAACCCTATCAGCAAAATGCTGGGCAGACCACA